TATTCTAACGCACGTAAGAACGGACTCGCGTGAGCAGGACCTGGCGCATTAAGAGAAAGTGTCGACACAGTCATATATAAAAGAACGCCCCCCCCCCTTTACAGACGATATAAATATATACGATAGCAGCTGAACTTTCCTCTTAGTAAGATAGCTGTAGGCAACAAATGGACCAGCCGAAAGAGTTATTTCGCCACCCTTATACATTGCCCACATGAGCGTTCATTCTTCACCTACGAGAGAAAAAAGAAATCTATTGCGCATACAGACAAAGTAACGTCATTTTACTTCCACTTCCGTCAATGTGTACGTACGTACGCACTGCGTCACTGCCAGCGGTGTGATGTTGCCATTCCGCCAGCCAGCCAGAGCCTTTCCGAAACATGCAAAGTCCTCAAATAACGGCTCAAAATCAGAGAAAAAAGCGGTGAAAAATTCAGTGGCGAAGCAGTGCATGGTTCAAAATCTCGTCGTTCTCACTTAAGAAAGCAGATAAGCGGTCCAGCACAGCGGGTGCTGTCACGGGGCTAAAATGGCGACTCATGAAACAATACAGAAAGTGATCGCCTCCGCCGCCGCCGTTCACGGCTGAATCAATATCCGCGCGCGCACGGCGCGCAAATTCTTCGCTTTGAAGCTCCTACAGCGGCCGTGCTTCGTCCTGTGGTAGGAACTTTGGGAGAGGCCCTGCAGTGGACGTTGACGGCAAAAGTATTCTTTATTCTTTTCTTTATTCAGTGAGTACCCCGCTTTGCTCAAAAGGCGTTACAGCAGGGGGGTTACAGACTGGAATAAAACAATTCTTCGTTTATACAGCACACTTGCTCGTCTTGCAGCTGGTTCCAATCTCTAATGGTCATCACAAAAAAGGAATTATAAAGTGTATATATATATATATATATATATATATATATATATTGAGACGGCATTAATTGGAAAGCGAGTTCCAGAGCTAAAGACACTCATCCGGTGCATAAGTTATATAGCCGAGAGCAATGATTCGTTCGTAACAGCGATACCCGGCGGTGTGGCATATGCATCGACCACACGTAACATCGATAGAGTCCATGTAAGAGCATAGCGGCGCGCTTACACAGGCCGTGCAAAACTTCGCTGTGAATCTGTGAGTTAGAAGATGGAGACAGAGAAAGCTTCTTTAAAGGTAACTCGAGCTGCAGTTTTTCTATGAAACAGTCAGAACTCCGCAAGTGAGATAAGAGTGATCCGGATGTGCTGCCTGCCCAAACGTCGTTATTGCCAAGCACAATCTATGAAAAGCTTAAATAAGACGCGTTCGTAACGTATTATCGGGAGCACTTCAGCGAATCAAGATGATGCGAGCATGCGATGTGAAATCCACGTTTTGGCTAACACGTAAGAAAGCATGCTTCGAAGTGACCACGAAAGCACATATCAGAATGCTCGTCCACAGCACAATAGCATTGCGTTCAGCTAGGCTTATGGCACAGAATCACGCAGTACACTGCGGATCCGACTTGACATCATTTAAACGTGTTTTAAATGCAAAGCATTTCTTAGCGAACTTCGGCGACTTTGGAGACGCACGGAGCGCTCGACGGTGACGGACGCTCCCGCATCGGCTCCGTCAGTGATCAAGGATTATTGCGGTTCTTCACGCCAGTGGCGAAAAATCTTGGCCTCATTGTCACCGCCCAGTTCTCTGCTCCGAGTGGATACCACCCGTGTCCAGGTGGGCCACATTTTTGACAACTTCATGTTTTATCTCTACGCCGACGCAACGCCGACGCGACGCCGAGCTAGGCTGCGTCCCGTTAGGCCTAGCTCTGCAACGCCCAAGTTTTCACGGTGCGATGGCGGCCACTACCACGGTTACTGGCTATGACCCAACCACACTTCAAGTTCTGACGATGGAGACTACCTCCTTTGACCAAGCCATGTCGTCGGAGAACGAGTATTTAGCTGACATGGTGAAACTCTGGGAACGGAAGCTATCCCAGGCCGCGTCTGCGCCCATGGGAAATGGGTCGCGCGCTGTGGCCGAGCAAAACGGCGGCTACCTCCAGCTCGTCCTCGTGCCCCTCTACGGATGGTGCGCGCACCGACAGCTCCTGCCTCGCCGATGCGTCAAGTGGCAACCATGCCATACCCCTCGTCTCTCTCGTGACGATTACATCGTCGTGCTGAAGCCGGGCGCTCCTTTCGAGCTCAAATCCATCCTCTCTTTCGATCGTGTCGGTGACGCGATTCGTGCATACTTGGGAGAACACTCGTCCAGTACGCTCCACGTGTGGCCAGCGTGGAACCAAAACGTTCTCGTGTGCAGTGTCACCTCACTATCCATGGCGCAGCGCCTGATTGGGGATAGTCAGTTGCTGATAGGAGACCAGCAGCTCTCTTTTCGGGGCCACGCCAAGGCGTCCGGGGAAATCTGCCGGGGTGTGATCACCATCAACTCGTCTGAAACCCCGCAGCGCATCAAATCTGAACTCGGATGGCCGCGAGGCACTATCCTGGCGGTACGCAAGCTTGGCGACTGTAGTGCAGTGGTGGTGACCTTCGAGGGCATGAAGCTCCCCCGCTTCATCTTCTACCACAGTGTCGTGGCCTACGTGAGCCCATATAAGAAAACCATCCCAGCCTGCTCTTTCTGCGGCACCATTGGTCATCAACCCTTGGCTTGTCCGCGATCTACTCCCGGTCGCTGTACCCTGCTGTGGCACTCAAGTCCAAGTGACTCCTGAAGGCCTAGCTCAACATGAATGCAACCCGACATGCCTCTTCTGCTCCGGGCGACATGAAACTGGGGCTCGGAAATGCCCAGTAAAGTATAGGAAACCTAAGCTACCATCAACCCCAAAGCGGACTGCACCCTTATCAAGAGGCCCACCAGCGGCTACGCAAGCCAAGCGTGACTAACCTCTCACTGACCCGCCGACCCCACCGCCAGCCACCTCAATTCACTATCCGCCACTTGTCGCGGCATCACCTCAGGTAAGCAGCCGGGCAGGGATGAATGCTCCTCAGCCTCTCCATCTCTCCCCTCTTCCTTCTTCCGTAGAGCTCTTCCACTCTACGAAAAGAGAACTGCGCTTCTTCAGCGGCAATTCGCAGCTCTCACTAAGCAGGTCGCAGCTCTCGAACTGCAAGAGCAGAAATTCGCAGGACCTCCCACTGCTACCCCATTGGTTGAACCCACCACCCCTAAACTTGACCATCCTGCTACGCCCACCCCGCGTAGTGATACCACTCCCCCGACGACGGCGTCGGCTGCCCCTCCAGCTCAGGGGGCAACTCAGAACATTCCTCCTATAGACCAAACCTTACCATTGGAGGACCGCATTAGTCGCCTCAAAAATGCTGTTCTCTGCCACATGTCTACCATTAATGTTGAACGCATTGTAGCTGAGGTGGTTCAGGCGGTTCAGGCCTGGGCTGTCACCCAGTTTTGCGCCAAAACTCGCTCACGCTCGGCCTCTACGGACAGTAATTCTGTCCCGCGTCGACGCAAAGTTGCCGGTTCCTCTTCAGCGGCTTTCAATCCAGCTTCCGTCCCCATTCCAACTCTGCAAAGTCAGGAGCAGGACATGGAGTATGAGCCATAAAACTTTAGATTTTCATCATGGCGACTCCGTCATTTCCATCTTCACTATCATCTCAATTCGAAATCATTCATTGGAACTGCAGGGAATTGTGGAACAGGCGAAAGCATGCACATCTTCTGCTCTTCCTTCGATCTCGGGGCTCTCTTCCTGCAGTCATCGCCCTTCAAGAATGCGGTTCAAACTCTACCCTCTCCAGCTACTGCTTCTATACAGGCGGCACTACCGCTAGTCTACTTGTTCACAAAACATATACGGCTGTTCAGGTCGATCTAGACCTAGACCTCCCCTACGATTACTGCATGATCTCCGTTCTTCCCCAGAAACGAGGTACCCCATCAATTCATATTCTTAATGTGTACTGTCCCCCACACATACAGCGGGTCACTTCCGCGGAACTCTTCTACAGGGCTCTCCAAGCGGCGGCTCGGCAACCCTTGGTGGTGGTCGGAGACTTCAATGCTCCAGCCCACACTGGGGATACCACTTTGAAAAGCCTCGCGGCCGGAAGCTTAAAGATCTTATATCCACTCTTGGTTTCACACTGCTCACTGACCCAGTGCATCCCACGCGTATGGGAAATTTGGTGACACGCGATACACGTCCAGACCTCTCACTCACGCGTAACATTGGGCAGGCTACGTGGGAAAATCTCGATGACATTCTTGGCAGTGATCATTTTCTGCTGAAGATCGCCTTCCCGACGCGGAAAATGCGCCAAATCTGGGGCCAAGCCCGTATCACGCACTGGTCAGCTGTTCGCACTAAGCCTTTCCCCTTGCTCTCTTCCCCAGAGGACTACCAGGCGTGGGCATCATACGCCCTCCATACACAGCAATCATACACCAAACACATTCCCACTTCCACATCAGCCCCTGCAGTGGATCCCCACCTCCTCCACCTTTGGGATGCACGCAACAACCTTACCCGCCGGTCGCGACGATCTAAGCTAAATCGTAAGCTTCGCTCCCGCATTGAAATGCTTACCTAGGAGGCTGCTGCCTACTCTGCCCAGCTTGCGGATTCAAATTGGGTCGATGCCTGCGTGAAGGCTGCAGGTAACATGAGCTCAAAAAATACATGGCGACTATTTCGGAGCCTCTTGGATCCCTCTACCACCCGTGGGGAAACACGACGCCAGCTTCGCCGCGCTTTACTATGCCTATCAGGGCCCGACGAGCCAACTCGCAAATGACCTCTGCGACCGCTATCTCTGTCGTACGATTGACCCCATGGGCTCCGATTGCGTCTACTCCGGGCTCTCCAACTCAGAACTTGATGTCCCGTTCACGCTCCTCGATTTTCGGGCGGCATTAGCTAAAATGAAGCGAGGTACTGCACCAGGTAGGAATGGCATTACAGTCACTCTATTAGCCAACCTTCCCGATTCCGCACAGCTCTCGCTCTTACAATTGATGAATGCAGTATGGGACGGTGAACTCTTACACGCGGAATGGACCACTTCGGTGGTCACATTCATTCCTCAAACCAGGCAAGCTCGTCAGCATTCAGGCGTTGCGACCCATCTCGCTCACCTCTTGCACGGCCAAACTTATGGAGACCATGGTCCGCGACCACCTGTCCGCATATCTGGAAAGGAAGGGCGTCTTTGGTGACTCGATGTTTGAGTTTCGCCCCCATCTGTCTGCGCAGGACGTCCTTCTCCAACTCCAGCACGACATCATTGTACCTACTACGATGCGCCACAATGACAAAGCCATCCTAGCCCTCGATCTCCGGGGTGCCTTCGACAATGTAAAGCATAGCATCATCCTTACCAATCTTAACAGCACGAACTGGGGCTCGAAAGCTTTCCGGTACATTAGGTCATTCCTTTCGCATTGCACTGCTTTCATCCGCATCGACTCTGCCGAACATGGTCCGTATACATTAGGCACCCGCGGTACACCACAGGGAGCGGTTCTATCACCCATCCTTTTTAATTTGGCCATGCTCAAACTTCCTGCGCTCTTCGCTCAGGTCGAAGGCATACAGTACGCTCTATACGCGGATAACATCACAATCTGGACCAATTCTGGCTTTCCTGCAAAAGTTGAAGACAGCATACAGCGAGCGGCACTTATTGTGGACACTTACGCCTCATTGTGCGGACTGGAGGGTTCCCCTACCAAATCATCTCTTCTCTCGGTATCATCTCTACCGCCACCTCAGATATCTCTGCCATCTGGCCCCATACCGGTTGTCACAGAACTCCGCATATTGGGCCTCTACATCTCTTCTACTATGAACCCTGGCTCCACCATTGCGCGTCTTCGGCGCACTAGTGAGCAGGTTAGCCGTATGATTCGGCGGGTCTCCACCAAACGTGGCGGCCTTCGCGGTCGGCACTCCCTTCGCTTGGCTCACGCGTTTGTAACCAGCCGAGTCCTCTACGCTACTCCATACCTTCGCCTGCGTCGCCACCACGAGAATCAGTTGGACGCACTGCTCCGATCGGTTTATAAGCGAGAACTAGACCTCCCCATTGCTACCTCCAATCGCCGCTTTGCGGCCTTGGGTGTGCCCAATTCGTATGCCGAGTTGCGGGAGGCTCATCGCACCAATCAAATTAACCGCCTGTCCCTGACGGTTCATGGACGCCGCCGTCTGGACAGGCTGTCACTGAACACGATCTCTACTCCACCACCCGATTCCTCTGTTTCGGAGCTGTGGCGGCAAAAAATTTGGGTCGAGCCTCTTCCTCGCAACATGGATCCCAGTCCAAATAAAGGCAGATGCATAGCCCAAACACAACTTCTCCATACCCGGTACTCCAACACTCCCGGTGTCTTCTACGTAGATGTCTCAGGCCCAACCTCCTCGGGACACTTTACGGCCGCAGTGATATCCGAGGGTCACAACGTTGACGGCATCTCTTTCCGCTCACCTGATGCAACTCGGGCTGAAGAGGTAGCCATTGCTTTGGCAGCCTCTCACCGCTCAGCAAGAGTGATCATCACGGACTCGCGCATCGCCTGTTCCCGATACCTGCAAGGTACCATAGCTCCTCTGGCCGCCGACCTTCTCCAGGCTGCCTCATGGCGCTTTGAACCTCACTCCATCCGCATAGTATGGTCTCCTGGCTACTCGGGTCTCCCCGGTAAAAAAGCGGCTCGTGCCGCTGCCTGCGTTTCTCTCCCCCGGGCCGTTACCTCTTTCGACTCCGCGTCTCCCCCAGGCACCTCAGCTCTTACGCAGTACCGCGAAATCCTTGATTACTATTGAAACTCGCGCCGTCTCTACCCAGAACCTGCACGGGGTCTCTCTAAAGCGGACGAGCGACTTCTGAGACGCTTGCAGACGGACACCTTCTTGTGTCCTGCAGCCGCCCAGAATTTCATGCCGGGTATACATGGCTACTGTGCGCACTGTGTGGTGCTGGCCGACACGTACCACATAATTGCAGTATGCCCAGCTATACCTCTTCCTTTTTCATCCCCCTTCCCCCTACGCGCAAGAGAGGCTTGGGAGGAGTTCCTGCTCGGCTGCTCCACCTGGGACGCTCAGCGCTCCCTGCTGGCCCGCGCCCGAGCAGCGATGACCTCCAGTGGACTTCTGGAATAAGGAGACCACCCAAGTGCATTTGTAGTGCAACTCTCTGTGCTTTTCTTAAAAAATGTTTGCCACCACCTTCACCACCATCGGCGACTTTGAGCGTATCTATCTATCTAGCCGCCTACGACATTTAGCTCTCCTGGCCGTTTCAATAATGGTATTGATACCAAACTTGGTATGACATAACATGACTTTATGAAGAACATATTTGACTTGTCATGACATAAAAATCCAGACAAAATCCAGAAAAGAGAGCACTCCGGCGTGTGGATTTGAACGTGGGACCTCTGCTTCGTGAAAGCGAGGCGTTAACCACTGAACCCAAGCCGGATAACGTGCGGTGGTTTCGTTCCCATGGCATGTTGCAAAACTGGTATGGTATGCTATGATTGTATGGTGAACACAAGCGTCAGATCATAGCTTATCTAATTAAATCCAGCATAACAGCGCCACTGCTTTCTGTAGCCAGAATTTCTCGACCACCTCGTCGGGTTTTGCTGAGAGTGGCTACTGCTTGTGGCTCCTTTTTGGGATGGCTACGCCGAAGCTGTTGCTAGAGCCTTGGTCCGCCTACCAGTAAAATGGGGAGGGCTCAGTGTACCCAACCTTGATGTAATGTGCCGCATGTTGGCTCTCAAAAACACCTGGGCACTCTTAGAGAACTCATCGTATCGAGGTAGGCAACTCCTACTGTATCTGCTAGGAACCTCTAGAAGATTTTTGGTTTAGCAAACGACCCGGGACCAGCTGCCGAACAGCCACCGGCGTATTACACACATGTTATCAAATCTTTGCAACAATGGCGAAACGATTTTCCAGTTCAAGAACTTATGGAAATTTCCCTCACCGACATGAGCAAACTAATAGCCTGTCTGAAGAACAACGCCGGAAATGCCGGGCGAAAAGACGTTGGACTCTTACAAACACGTCTCTCCCCTCCGAGGTCCGTGACCTAAACTGGCTTAGGGAATGGGAGGCTTTACCAACGGCCGACCGCCTTGTGGCGTGGCGCCCTTCACCACATGCCCGCAATGCGGTCGCGTCGAAAAGCTGAACCATGTCTTCCATGAATGTATAGTAGCGCGCACCTTTTGGCGCATGGTTACCAGAATATTCCAAATAAATATGCAGTGGAAGTCTAGCCACAGGGATAACTTCGGCGAACTCTTAATGGCTATCGGAGCCTTCGTCTTATGGAAGCGGAGGGGACTGGCCCGCCTGAGGGGACGCCCTCAGAGAGCCATGTTTCCTCTGCTACATCGGCTAAGAAACGTAATGCTTATGCATCTCAACACAGAACTAGTCATGCAGGGAGAGGAGGCTTTCCTCCGACGCTGGTCTACGCGATTCATTATGGTAAAAAACTACAGAGTATCCATGCCTTCCTCCCCTATTGAGGAGGTGGGCTAGAGCTAGTACCACAGTGACATTACAGTGTGTATTTTTCTTTTCTTCATTAGAAACATGTCCTTTTTGTGCAATATTGTTCTTGAGCGCGAGAGCAAACTGTCCTCACAGGTGAATGCAAAACATCACCCTACACTGTGAATGACCCCCCTTGTTTGTTTATATAGCCTTACTGTTTGTTTAATTTTAATCATCTCGATGTCATGAATGTCCTGTGATTGATTGATTTGTGGGGTTTAACGTCCCAAAACCACCATATAGATTATGAAAGACGCCGTAGTGAAGGGCTCCGGAAATTTTGACCACCTGGGGTTCTTTAACGTGCACCCAAATCTGAGCACACGGGCCTACAACATTTCCGCCTCCATGGGAAATGCAGCCGCCGCAGCCGGGATTTGAGCCCGCGACCTGCGGGTCAGCAGCCGAGTACTTTAGCCACTAGACCACCGCGGCGGGGCATGAATGTCCTGTCTTTGTTGTACGATTTTTGCATTGTACGTCATTGCATACGCTATAGTCCTTTTCGCTGTATATAACAGCTTGCATTGTACATACGCATTGATCACCATCGTCCATTTTTCTGTGTGCACATAAGCTGTGTAAGATATATCCAGAAATAAAATTCTCTTAAACCATTGACAGTGCCACTGCATGTTGTGGGTGGGGCCCACGGGACGGCTTTTTGCTCTGCCATAGTAGAGTACCAGGTACTCGAAATCGTTAACAACTTTTTCCAAACACACGCAAGAAAGTAGGCCAGCTCTCCCATAGTAGAGTACCGAGCACAGTAAATCGTTTAAGCACTCTTTCCCAACACACACACACACACACACACACACCCACATGAAAATCATGACATGCGTGTCATGTAACAACATGACTACATGCCAAGCTCATGATGGCTCGCGAGCATTTTGCTATCGTCACATATACCAAATCTGGTATTACGGTACGTGAATGGATTACGAAGGTATATGACTGGTGAAAACATGGCAATCATGAGAGGCGTGTCATGTAACAACTTGACTACATTCCACGCTCATGATGCGCTGGCGGCCGTTTCGCTAGCTTCACATGTACCATACTCGGTATTACGCGACGCCAATGGACGACATAGGTAAACGACACATACAAACGTGATAATCACGACATGCGTGTCATGTAACAAGATGATTACATGTCACACTGATGATGCGCTCGCGGTCGTTTTGCTAGCTTTACATATGCCAAATTTGCTATGACGCAACGCCAATGGATGACGAAGGTATGTGACTGGTGCAAACATGATAATCATGAGAGGCGTGTGATGTGAGAACATTACTACATGCCACAGTCAAGGCGCCAATACATTCCGAAGTGACGCGGTGCGCGTGCTCACCGGCGTTCATTCCGTGGGGTCACGCCGGCGTTAACACGCCAGGCACCGCTCCTGCCTTATACTCGCAGGCGTGCTCCGCGCTGCGTTGTTTTGACGCATGCGCGTTTCAGCGCGTCCGGCGTCCCTCCGTCACGAAAAGAGGGACACACAGTGTTGTCTGGGTAACGCATCGGCACGAAATGCACCATGTCGCATTTCGCATGTCAGACGCTGGTCGCGCCGGTCGCGCCTGGCGTCAGGCTATAGAGTGCTGACGTTTTGCTAACGTATCGTCACTGTGCCCAGCGTGTGCGCGCGTCAACGCTACGTTGGAGTATATTCAGCCCCTCATGAAGCGCTCGCGGCCGTTTTTCTAGCTCCACATATACCAAATCTGGTGTTATGTGACGTCAATGAATGAAGAAAGTATATGGCTGGTGCAAACATGATAACCTTAATACGCGTGTCATGTAAGAACATGACAGCATACCGCGCTCATAGCGTGCTCGCGGTCGTTTCGCTAGCTCCACATCTACTAAATTAGGTATCACGTGACCACAATAGATGGAGAAAGTAAACGGCACATTAAAACATCATAATCATGACACTGAAGTCATGTACAGCATCATTTACCTCCACCTCGTCTATTTGATTGATAGGTGGGGTTTAGCGTCTCAAAAGCACCATATGATTATGAGAAACGCCGTAGTGGAGGGCTCCGGAAATACCGACCACCTGGGGTTCTTTAACGTGCACCCAAATCTGAGCACACGGGCCTACAACATTTCCGCCTCCATCAGAAATGCAGCCGCCCCAGCCGAGATTCGATCGCACGACCTACGGGTCAGCAGGCAAGTACCTTAGCCACTAGACCACCGCGGCGGGCTTACCTCAAACTCGTAATATTAGGCTGATTTAAAGTTACATATCAACCTTTCTCCTTCGTTTTTCGCATATCATCGATGGCCACTGTACAGGGGATCTGCTAATCTTCATTAAATGTGAAGCATTTCTTAGCGAACTTCGGCGGCTGTGAGCATATCTATCTATCTATCTCTCTATCTATCCTCCTGCGACTTTTAGCTCTCCTGGCTGTTTAGATATTGGTGTCAATACCAAACTTGGTATGGCAAAACGTGACTGAATGAAGACATAATTGACTAATCATATCATGAAAATCATGACATGTATGTTATGAATGTCATGATTTACATTTCATGGTCCTTCAGCTCTTGCGGTGGTTTCGTTCATATGGCATGTTGGAAAACCAGTGTGGTATGACATGATTGCATGGCAAACACAATCAAAAGGTCCTAACATAAAAATGTTGACATGCGTGTCATGTAACAACATGACTACATGCCACACTCATAATGTGCTCGTAGCCGTTTCGCTTGCGTCACATATACCAAATTTGGTATTATGGTACGTGGATGGATGACGAAGGTATGTGACTGGTGCAAACATTATAATCATGAGGTGCGTGTCATGTAACAACATGACTACATTCTATGCTCAATATGCGCTGGCGGCCATTTGGATAGCTTCACATGTACCAAACTCGGTATTACCCGATGCCAACGGACGACATAGGTAAAAGACACATACAAACGTGATAATCACGACATGCATGCGTGTCATGTAACAACATGACTATAAGTCACACTGACGATGCATTCGCGGCCGTTTTGCTAGCGACGTCGATGAATGACGAAGGTATGTGACTGGTGCAGACATGATAATCATGAGATGCGTGTGATGTGAGAACATTACTACATGCCACAGTCAAGGCACCAATACATTCCGAAGTGACGCGGTGCGCGTGCTCACCGGCGTTCATTCCGTCGGGTCACGCCGGCGTTAACACGCCAGGCACCGCTCCTGCCTTATACTCGCAGGCGTGCTC